TTTTTATTTAACTATTATTTTTTTAAAAACTTTTAGTGGAAAGACAACCTGCTAGTGTACCTTACCATGCTTGCTCACCACACTTGCTCAGAATATTCGGAAAGTAAGCTGAAACAATGTGAAATCAAAAGTAATCAATACTGGAGACAAGCATCGGGAAATGCAGTAAGGGAATGTCTGCATCTATTTACTGAATACTTTCTTGAATTATCTTTGTTAATTGATTCTTTGGAAAATTATTCAATATGTGAAAAACATTATAATCAGATTGTTGCTACTAACAATTTTTATCAGACTTTTTTAAATTCGAATATAAATAAAAATTCAGATATTCCTATTATTCAAAAAAAAAGATCCTGGGAATCAATAATTTGGAATTACACACAAGTACCATTGACATTGTAGCAGGCAAAAATTATATTGGTGAGTCTAACATTACAGAGGAGCTTCAAAGAACAAGAGACATGCTAGAAATGGGTGAATCAGAACATCAAAAACAATCAATAATTATTTTGGATCTTAATAATAAAATCATGCAACTACAACAACAATTAAAAAATTATGAACATGAAGTATCAGAATTAAAAAAAAATTTAGATACTTCTTATAATCACATAGATGAAATTCAGAATCTATATGAAGAACAATTTAGCAAAAATAAATATCTCCTTGAACAATGGGATTCACATTTTAGCAATCAACAAAAACGTATAATGTGAGATCAAAATCCATGTCTCACACAAATCTATTGATTTGGTTAAAATAATATTTATGCTTTACTCTCAAAACTATCTTTTATTATCATTAAACAATTTCTTGTACTAGGAAATACTAATCAATATCTTTTTTAGATTTTACACTATATATCCTGATCACATTTCTTGGTGGGTGCCCTCCTAGCCGTTTTCCTCTTTGCCATATACCAAGTCAGGTACGTCTCTAAAACTACTAAATAAGGTTGATTATTTTACCTACTAAAAGAAAAGAAAAGAAATAAAAAATAATAAAAATAATAGAAACAAATATAAAATAAGAGAAAATAATTATGCACGGGATTAGTATAAATTCATTGTTAGGGATAGATTTATTATCATTACAAAAATATAATGTTAGAAGACCACAAGGACAAGGTCAAGGTCAAGGTCAAGGACAGTGTTATTTATTATAATATTATTATATAAAAACATCAGAGTTAACTAAATAACTTTGAGTTTACTAAAAAACTAAAGATTACATGAAAGAGAAATTTACAATGTATTTATACATTTTAGAGGCTCTATCATCTAGTTCTCCGATTTCTTTAAAATCCTAAATTATACTAATTAATGTATTCTTTTATCATTATTTAAACCTTCCATGTAGAATTATTTTCTAGTCAACATGAGTCATGTAAAATTCTTTTGTTTAAATATTATTCTGAGATTTGGTCATCTGTTACATTTTAGAATGTTAGAATATTTATATTTCCAATATTTCCGTGAGTCAATTATTTTATTATTATTAGTAACTTCATGAATCATCTCCAATTATATATCAGTTTCCCATGATTTATAATTTACTATTTTACAATATTATAAATAAATAAAAATCTTTCTTTTTTTATTATCAAACTGTATCAATATGTATAGTTTTTATATTTAAATTCAAGTTGTTTTTTTTTGAAATTAAAATGTTTAAATACAGTCAAGTATTTTACCAAATTTGGAGAAAAATCGGAACCACCTTGTTGATCAATTCATATATGTTACAAACGATTTGTGGCTCTTTATCAAAACTCTGACAGCATAAGCAAGCCTGTAATCCTATTAAGCCTTTCTGATATGCATCCATGAAGCTCTTTGACCTATGTGCATATCTGATAAAATAAAGAAACTAAGCAAGCTAAAGATAAATAGAAGTAGTAGAGTATTAAATAATACAATTTATTGGAGATAAAACAAGTAAATGGTAATGATATAAGAAATAATATAAGATAGAAAAATTTGTGTAAAGTAACTGCATAAGTTTAGAGAAATGATCAATATACATAAAGTTTTTTGTTGTAAGGTGCCACTAACAATTTCATAATTAATAAATTATATATTTTCTTGCAGTATGTCAATTCTACCAGATGAAAGGTATGATGATTTTTCTGTTATTAGGAAATTGATCTTTAAAATTGATTTTATACCACTTTAAATTAGATTTAGCTCTAGGAATTAAATTACTTATTGTTAAGATTAAAAATATTAAAGGTGGTAAACCATAATTGCAACAAATAAGATAGCCAAACCATTCAATTATTTCACCCAAATAATTTGGATTTACCAAATATTTAAATAACCCTTTATTTGGTATGAAATATATCCTTCCCCGTATTATTATTGATGATGATGATGATGATGAAGCCTGATATTTTCTTAGATTGAACAGTATTTCATCATGATATAAATTAATTCCCATACCAATAAAAAATATAATTGTTCCAATTATAAATCTGGTAGTTTTATAATCTTCATCCTTAAGCTCACCAAATTTAGTTATAAATCTTGAAATAAGATAACTATTCAATATGTTGACTATTATTGCACTAAATATTATTAATAAATGAATTGGTGAGATAGAAGCTGATCTGATTGTAAAAATGATAGTTCTATTAATGTAATGAATTAAGAAAAACACTAGTAATAATGTTTGCGTCATTGTTAAATTATTAGACACAAATAAACTCGAAAGAAATATAATAATTGTAGGTGATTCCATTATAAGCCATCCTAATTTTCCTGGCATTTTTAGAAATTTACTCGAATTCCATTGAAATTTACCTGAAATAAATAGAGATGATTATGACAACGATAAAAATGAAGATTATTCTAAAGAAAGAAAGAAAGACGTAATCACTCTATGTATATATAACTCACCATACGGAGCATCAAATAAAAAAAAAAACAAAAACGAAAATATAAACAAAGAAAAACTGAAATAAATTTTTGTTGCTATATCATAATAGATTTTTTCATTTTCGTGAAATTTATCAAACAAATTTCGGTTAATTGTGTTCATTTATTTCTTTTTAAAAAATATATTTTGCGGTAGAAGTAAGAAAGGATGAAATTTCATTTATTAAAAGCAATAAAGGTAAAAATGAATGAAATAAATGATCCAAATAATCTAATATTTATTTGCAGTCACAAATAATTAATTTATATATATTCTTATAATAGAAAATTAATTTTTTTTATTTTCATCATAATTTTTCAACAACAAAATCATCATCACAATATAATATTTTATTTTTTGGCACAAATAATTTTTCTGTTGAATCATTAAAAGCATTGATCAATGAGAAAAGTTAATTAATGTTAATAATTAATTATTTGATCAATTAAGTTTTATTGAATTATTAAATTTCTTTATATTTTAAAAAGATAATTCCAATTCATTTGTCAAATCAATTGAAGTAGTGATACCACCTGAGCATAAAACAGGAAGAGGATTTAAAAATTTAACAAAATGTAATTTTATAATATTTAATTAATCATATATGGTTTTTTTAAATAGATTTATTAATTCGTTTGTAGGCCCCGTTAAATTATTTGCAGAAAAACACAATTTAATTATTCATGAAGCACCTTTAAAAGCTCTTTTTAAAGATTGGAGGGTAAATAAGTAAACTTAAAATCTTGATTTTTTTTAGTTGATGCGTTTTGTTAATGTTTAATTATATGTTTTTAGGTTCCAAAACCAAATGATAATCTATCATCGCAATTTGATATTGGAGTTGTAGTATCTTTTGGATATTTTTTGACTCCTTCAATATTAGATTCTTTTTTAAACGGTTCTATTAATGTTCATGCCTCTCTATTACCAAAGTATTATTATATCATGTTTTTATTAGAAAAATTTTTTAATGTTTTTATTAAAATAACATGAAATTAATGATGATCAGATATAGAGGAGCATCTCCTATTCAATATGCTATTTTAAATGGAGATGAAGAAACCGGCGTTACCGTTCAAGAACTTGATTATAGAATATTTGATGCAGGAAGAATTATCAGATCAATAAAAATTGTGAGTAGAGTGGGTTTAATTATATTAATATTATACGTATATTTATATATTTAAATAATAATGATGATAATTATTATTAATTAGCCAATTCCTTTTAATTCAACTTATTTAATACTTGAAAATATACTTGCATCCAAAGGAGCCGAATTGTTAATCGATACTTTGAGCAATTATAACCATTACAAAGTAATAATAATCATTATTTAATAATAAAGCAAATAAAATTTTATCATATTAATTAGTAATTGAAAATTATATATTTATAGAGATTGGCAAGTGATCAAGATGCTTCTAAAATTTCTAAAGCACCAAAAATTACAAAAGTTATGTCAGAAATTAAATGGAATCAAATGTCATCTTTACAATTGGATAGGCTTTATAGGGCTATTTCACATCAAGTAATAAATAATACTTTATTAGTTGAAGATAATTCTATTCTGAAAAAAAATTTTATTTTCTTGTTTTTTTACCTAGTATCCATTGACAACTAAGTTTCAAGGCAAAAAAATTCAATTGCATAATATTTCATTACCAACAATTTCTGAATATGAAACAATTTACAAACAAATTGAATCATTAAATAATAATGATCCTGGCACAATAATAATTTACGATCAACATAAGAATAAATCATCATCATCACCATCATCCAACGTTTATGTTTTATGTTCAGATAATAAATTTATATTGTGCAAATCTGTAAAAATGGAAAAAAAGAATGAATTATTAATTAAAGATTGGATTAATGGATATAGAGTGATTAGTGGAATGAAATTTGACGATTAACAGCAAAATTATCTGGTTAAGAATTTAAGTGCCTGGTCATTTCTTTTTTAGTTATTGGATATTTATATACATGTAAAACTTTTTATTTCAAATATGTAATTACACAATAATCTAAGAAAAATTTAATTTTTTTTCATTAACACATCCTCAAAATCAACTTTATTACTTTTTGAGTAATACATTTTCTACATTGGATTCACTTGAAGATGACTCATAATCTGAGAGTTCAGTATCAGTGTCTCTACCGAATACCTCATCGAACTCTCGGAAAAATGGATGATCCAAAGACCATTTCAATTTTGCTAGTTGTACTTCGTTTGGAACGAAATAATTTTCTTTAGGGAATACTTGACTTTTTTCAATATCACAATTTTTGTTAATGCTGATTGTGTGTGTTTCATCCTCATCTTCTTCATTGTTAATCGTAGGTAACGATTCACTTGCTGATTGAATTTCATCGTGAATCATTTTTTTTCCTTTATTAATAGGATTGTTATTAATATTTACGTTTTCATCATTTGATAACAATGCTGCAATGCTACTAACACGTTTACTCGTTGTTGAAGATGATGACAACGACAACGATGATGATGATGATCTCACTTCATCTTGTTCGTGTCTTTCGGAATATTGCTTTTTTTCGCTTGTAACTTTATGATGATTATCCAAATAATCAATATTTTGTGTTGAACTTAATGGTGCTCTAAAGACTTCGTTGTAATTACTATTAACAATCTTTTTATCTGCCATTTCGCGTATCCTAGGATATATTTTGATTTGAGTAACATGACTAAAAACAATAGTTTCTTTCCTATTAAAAGGAATTGTTGACTGTTTGGCAAAAGTATTGTTGATTTGAGATGATTTAGTATTTGAAGTTGGAACTCTATAGGTTTCTTCATTATTATTATCACTACTGCTTGATAAAACACTATTACTAGTAGTACTACAGAAGCCACTATTATTATTATTATTGTTGTTGTTGTTGTTGTTGTTGTTATTATTATCATTATCATTATCATTATCATTATTATTATTATTATTATTATTATTATTATTATTATTATTATTATTACTATTATTATCATCATCATCATCATCATCATCATCATTAAATGCTGTAATTTTATGCCGTTTTGTATTATGAATAGATCTATAAGACGAATTTCTTTTTCTTTTAGTTATTTGTGCATCGTCCTCATCGTCCTCAACGTCCACTATTATATTATTAGACCAAGCCCAAAAATTCTTTCGGCCTTTGGCAATTTCACGTTCCCTTATTTTTGCATACCTTTCGTTTCTAGAAAGTGTTTGTTCCTATATAAAAAAATTTTTTTTTTTTATATAAAAATGTTAAAATATCGCAACTATAAAAGACAGTAAAGTCAAAATTCAGTGTCACATCAGCGCCTAAATTATTTCAAAATTATATGACAATTACCTTTGCTAATGGGGCTAAATAAGGCAATATTTGATAAAGAAGTTTGTCATGAAGTTGACGTTCATTCTCTGATCTTGATGGATCCAATTTATTTTTAACATATTCAGCTATGTCTGTTACTGTTGTTGATATTACTTCCCACTTTATTCCAGAAGACGTAATAGATTCACGATAAATACGTGATCCAACTGTTATTTAATTAAAAAAATTTAATGATAATTAGCAAAAAAAAATTTTTTATTTAATATATTAAATTACTTACTTCCAATATACAAAAAGTTACCATTAGCACTATCAGTACCCAGAGACTCAATTGCCAGAGGATCAAATGGATCAGTATTAGATAACAATTTAAGCTCTTCCAAAAATTCTTTGATCCTTGTAGAATAAATAAGTTGGTATTTAACTAAATAATAGAGGAGATAAACCTACAAACAATTTATTATTATATTTAAGTTTTTTTAAAAAAATATTTGTATATAATATAAAATCATTACTTCTACTTGCTTTAAAATAATAATATATTAATTACCTTCATTTTTGGTTTTAAAGCAAAGAAATCATTATTTACAGAATCTAAAGGATTGTAATTCAAAAAAAATTCCTCATTTTCAATTCGTTTATCAATAAAGGTAGAAAAGGCGTTTTTCCAATTACGTGAACTATATTTTCAAAATGAAATTTTTAACAATGGCCATTTGTTAATTATATTTTTTTTACGATGAAATATCAAAGTTTACTCGGTTATTTTTGGCCTATTTTCTGCATGCTGTAAAAAATAACGCAGGAGCCATGTTATCAATGGATTTTCATGTTTACTTCTGAGCGCTTCCTCAAAGTCCTAAATTAAACAGAAGATTCAATTTATTTGGTGTAATTTACTTATATTAAACATAAAATCAAACAAACCTCTGGCCAAAAAAACAAATGCTGAATTGACTTTTCGTACTTGACACAAAACGCTATAATAAATGCTGTCTCTGGCATATCTTTAACATCAAGATCTGATTGTTTAGCTGTTGATAAATTTTTTGAACGAATTGATATAGCTTCTTCACTCATTTTTTATAAATCTAAAACGACAAAGTCAGAACTTTTTAATATTTTTTTTTGATTGGTCGATTTCATGGATAATTCACGTGATAATAGTAGAGCAAAAAAAATTTTTTGACGCGAAAAAAAATTTATATATATAAAAATCACATAATAAATACCCCTGTTTAGAATGCTCTTATGGTTCAATAAACTTCAAAATACTGTTTCGTAGTTTTTTATTAACTAAAGTGTAAACTTAAATATCTTGTGTGTCTGCCAGTTCTTTGGTAGACAATGGAAAATCATGAAAATTGCAAATGAACGTGTTAATGTTGATAATACCCTGATACTGATATGAATATTATCAAATGATGATAAGGATTGGACTGTTGTCAAAAGGAAGGAACGTTTTGTTGCTCGAATTAGTGGCCTGCATCGGGTTTGGTCTTAACGTCGAACAACTTCAGATCGGGATCGGTTGTAATTTACAACAACCCGAGTTTGACCTGAATTTACAAAAAAAAGAATAATAGTTGTATTTTCCACCAAAATATACAGCATTTTATTGGCGAGTTGAGTAGGCTAAACATATTTAGAAATTAAATCGGAGATCACGGATGATTTTGTATATTAGTCACAGGACATGTCACATCAATTGATTTTCTATATGTGAAAATAAATTCGAAATTCGTGTCACATGAAGTTTTT